GTGTGTGTGTGTGTGTCTGTGTGTGTGTGTGTGTGTGTGTGTGTGTGTGTGTGTGTGTGTGTCTGTGTGTGTGTGTGTGCGCGCGTGTGCACGCGCTCTCGTGTGCTTGAGTGTTTGTGCCTGTGCATGTTTGTGATTGTTTATTTCTGTGTGTGCATGTGTGCACGTGTGTGCGCGTGTGCGCGTGTGCGCTTGTGCACATATGCGTGTGTGTGCGAATCAAGACTTGATGGACAACACAAGGGGATGACGCGTTCAGGGTTGAGAGGAGCAGCAGCGTTGGGCCCAGCGCGATGAGGGTGAACAGGGGGGGGGACAAGAGCTGCATCCGCACAAGCGACATGGCCAGCCCCAGCCGAGGCGTGCTGCGGCATCAAAGCGATGGTGCCAGACCGGGCTGCGGCCGCGGTCAACCGCGCAGGACCGCGGCTGGACACCTCGCGCGGGCCTGGGCGGGCTGCTGATGTGTCCAGGAGCTGACTGAAACAATTCAGCCCACTCCGCCCCTCTGACACACCAGCAACCCACTCCCTACACACACACACACACTCTCTCTCTCTCTCTCTCTCTCTCTCTCTCTCACACACACACACGCGCGCGCGCGCACGTGCACGCGTACGCTCACAAGCACACGCTCACACACGCGCACGCATGCACGCAAACACCGCCCTCCAGAACCCACCAGGTCCAGAATGCGCTTCCCCAACTCAATGGACAAGTGGTCAACCGCCAGATCTATGCTCGCATCCAACGGCGCCGCGCCAGCCGCGTGCGGCGCAACCGGCGGCGGCAGGTCTGGCCCAGACGCCGCGTAGCCCTCTCGGGCGGCCGCGACGGCGGCCGTGACCATGGCCGCATACTCGGGCTCCGAGCCGCGCGCGGCCGCTTGAGACACTGCGGCGCGTCGTGCAGGGCGGGATCATTGCATGGGGGCGGTTGGGGGTGACTCCGGCAGTCGGGTGTCTGCAGCGCGTTTCAAGAGGCCCGCGCTCGAGTGCCACCGGGGGCATTCACGAGAGCGGTGCGCGCCCCCGATCGCGGCTGCGGGCATTCCGTCGGCTTCGCTTCAGAAAACGCCGCCCACGGGTCGGCCCGGATCCCGCCTCGGGCCGCACCGAACAGCGGGTTGGTGGTCGCGTCGGTGATGAGGCCCGTGCTGGCCCATTTGGCGACTGTCGCGAGGTCACCAGTGTCAATGGAAAGAGTGGTCATGCCGGCCAGCTGCGCCAGCTGCGACCCCTCCGCGACCACCACCTCCGCCGGCGCGGCCGCGGCGGCGGCCGCGGCGCACGGGGCGCAGCGGGGCACGCGGGGCGCACGGCGCGCGGCGGGGGCGGGGCC